CTAAAATATGCCTTCTCCCATGTTTAAGTTTATGATTTGTACTGTATACCCCTTCAGAGTTTGTATGTTGTCCTAGGTATTCATGAACTATGCCAGGAAAGGGCCCTGCAAATATCACATATCTCATTCCCAAACTTCCAGAAAGGATCAGTTGAACCTAGAGAGCTTTATTTGTACATACTTTTTTTTTAAATGTCCAAAGACATGTAGCAACATACACATGTATACACAATTTTTTTTAAAAGCAGCTGTCCCTAGTTTCTTTCAGCCCAGTCTGTAAGTCCAGTGACCATGTGTAGCCTGACATCACTGCTGATTGGCCTGGGAATTTTGACCTAATCCATTACCAGTCTGTGGGTTCACCCTTCCTTAAACAATCTGGCTTCTCCCTTCTCCCTCTTCTATTCCCAGTGACTCACTATATTGGTATTCGAGTTACTGGGAACATCTGATCAGCTTTAACTCTACTGGAGCTCAGAACTACTTAACTAAAGCAATCCACCACTCTTAGCCTCCCCAGTAGCAGAGGTACAGGCATGTGCTACCATTCCTGGCCCACACTTTGAAGACATGTTTTAATCTATGTGTACATGTGAATTGATTCAGTGGTATATGGGAAAGGGAAAAATGCACCAAGTTTAAAAATGTTTTGATTTGGACTAAATATCCCTTCTAGATGGGGTATTTATAATTCCTGGGAATTGAATGTTTTATTTTTCTCTTGAGATAATTGATTTGTAAATTATCCACACTTTCTAGCTCTCTCCAAAGATGTTTATATGGTTCCTGAATCCTGTAAGGCACTTTTCTTTTTATCCAAATCCATTTTCAAATATTTGGGCTATTGGAAACATAAATATTTGTATCTGACACCATGTGTGCTGTCAGCCATCAGCAGAGTTGTCGGATTGTCTGATGCTTCTGTTTACATTTCCAAAAGGTGGGAAATGAAATCCAGGTGGTGTGAGAATAAACGGATTGGCAATGACAGAATTTAAAAACTGGAGCCAATAACTAAACTGTGGTGGTAACTTTTTTCAGTTCAGTTTTGTAAAACCTAATGCATTGAAAATAATCATTGCAAGACGCTCTGAGGAAGTACAGATTTTAATAGCTATTCTTAATGAGATATTGCCTCTCTGTGATATTTTCCCAGAATGGTCTTTCAGGATATCATTGGGGCAGGCAAGAACTTTCCTAAGAAAGGGAAATATAATTAATCAATCAATGTTAAGCATCTACTATGTGCCAAGTCCCAGGGATACAAAACAAAAAAGGAAACAACCCCTTCTCAGGAAGAGCTGAGAAACATGATTGCTTTATCTTTAGAAAGAAATGGAAAAGAGGAGAAGCCCAGGACAGATGGTATGGGCTTATCACTATGGTGAGTTTGGAGACAATCAGACTGTTGTCCTCCATACCCTCTAAGAAATGTGTATTTAACAAAAAAAAAGGTTTAGAAATAACTGTACAAGACAAAATTAAGTGGGTTTTGTGTGTGTGTGTGTGTGTGTGTGTGTGTGTGTGTGTGCGTGCTTTAAAGAGAGACCCTACATTTTGCAAGTCTGAAATCTGCTGCGTGCCAGTGTGTTGTTGACAATAATCACAGTAACTATGTATTTTGGGTTTTTTTTTTAACATATTAACATCATTCTCAAAGTTGCTTTAAATACACCTGGCTCATGAAACCACTCGAGCTTGCCTTGTTACAGCTTTTTTTGTTTCAAAATCTTTAACATGGCACATTGCTCTGATGATGAATTAAGAGCTTTTCTCAGCATGAGCTCAGATTGAAATTCAACCTCAAATCAGAAGAATAAAAAAGGTTTATTCACTGGGTTTCAATAATTAGATGGTAATCAAGACCAACTATGTCACCAGTATTATACAGGCCTTTTGTTTTTTCTTTTAAAGATGTACTTCCTTTCTCTAGTACCAATCAGTTTTCTCCTCTATTTTATATTAAGGAATCTATTTACCTGCCCTCCCATGACTGATCCTTAGGTCTTCTGGACCAAGTATAAAAGCATAGACTCTCAAGAGTTTAAAGAGGTGTTATAGATCACCTAGTTGAACCTGGACCTTAGGCATGAATCCTTGTTACATCATTCCCAGCTAATGGTCACCTAGTCCCTATTTCACCTTACTACCATGGTGCAGTGGACACGCCGCTGTAATTGGAGTCAAAAGACCTAGGTTCGAAGTCTAGCTGTGCCACTTACTAGCTATGTGACCTTTGGCAAGTCAATTAACCTCTTTGAGCCTCAGTTTCTTCAATAAAATGGGAAGCACAACACTTATACTACCAGCTTCATGGTGTTGCTATAAGGAAAGTATATGAAAGTGTATGCAAACTATATATAAATGTGCTTTGTAAAACACTACATAAATTATTATTGCTCAGAAAGTAGCCCATTATATTTCTAGACAGCTCAAATTTTTAGGAAGCTTTTTCCCCTTGTATTACTAAAATCTACTTCTCTGCCACTCCCACCTATTGGTTCTGCTCTGATCCTCTCTGGGACCATCTTCTGCATGAAAGGCCTTCAAACCCTGAAAGATGACTGATTGCGTAAACCCTGAGTCTTCTCTTCCCCAGACTAAATCACTCTGACTTTATTAAGATGACTCCAAAAAGCCACAGTAAGGAAGGGGCAATAAATTGTGAACAATTGGGAGCCACAACTTGTGAGCCATCTCTTTCATTTTTGCTTGCGATTAGAACCAGGGACCCATTATTAAGAGGTATGGAGAAATATCTAAAGTGATTCTTTCTGACACTGGAAAAATGGAAAAGGCCTTAGCTAACACCTCATAGCTCAAACTACTTATCCAACCCAGAAAATGCTGTAATCCCTCCTTCTCTATATCTGTAGTTCCGTTGCTTATATCATTAGACTAAGCCTCAATTTCCACCTGTGGGCAATTAAATTAGGCTATTTATGCTGTTTTGAATCCATTTCAAATCTGTCAAAACATCGTGAAGACTGTATACCCTTATTTATAGAATCATTGGGCTAAAAATAACTATATCCCTTTAAGGCTTACAAAGCATTTATGTATGTATGCATTATGTATGTATGTGTATGCATGCACACATGTATATGTATATGTGTGTACGTATACATGTGCATATATGTGTATGTTTGTGGATGGGTGTATATACACATATCTAATTTAAGCCTCACAATAAAATTCTGAGAGGTAGATATTATTAACCCTTTTTTAGAGACAAAACTGAGACTCAAAGATGGGTAAACCTTGTTCCATGGTCTCATTTCTTTTAAATGTCAAAAACTATATTTGAATGTGTCTTACCTATTCCAAGCCTAGCACTCAATTCACTCTATTCAGACCCCACACTGGAGTCCTGATTAGCTAGTTTAACTTCCTCCTTTTATAGATGAGAAAACTGAGGCATTGTGAAAAAATTAAATGACCTGACTAAGGTCACATAGTAAAATAGCAAAGCCAATATTGCAGTTTTCTGACTCCAAATTTCTAGCACTACCATTACCCCTGGTTCATACTAAACATTGGGCAGTTTTAAAAAATAATTTGCATACATGTTGTTATTCATTTCAGTTCAACAAATGTTGATGTTATTGAGTTCAAATCATTGTACTAAGAGAAGATGATAGAAAAGCAAAAATAAACCAGCCCCTGCCCTCCTGGGGCTTACATTCTACTCAGGGAATACAGCATGAACACAGATAAATATAAGATAAGTCAGGGAATACAAAGAGGTCATAGGGAGATCACATGGAGAGCTCTAGAATTTT